GAAATGTTCAGAGAAGTGGAAAGTAGAACAAGTTCCCAGTTCTCATTAATCAAACCAATAAGCACGGTAAACAGTCAAAGCACACAGAAACAGTTGGCTTATAGGGAAAGGGAGACCCCACACACCAGAGGGAAAGATAACTGACTGTTTAGCAAGGTCCATGTCTCAAGGGCCTTGGAGGTCTCTGAGGCACCCTCTAACGCCACTTGTAGCAATGTGGCCCAAGGCAATAACCAGAGACACAAATATTTATACTGGATGTCCATCACAGTGTTTTTCATAATAGCAAAAAGACAGACACAAATATTTATGCATTGGATGTCCATCATAGAGTTATTTATAATAATGGTGGCAGTGGGGAAGACAGAAAACGCAAGATAAGGCAGTAACAAAACGCTCTATTACGGAGTAGTATGCAGCCATGGATCATGATACAAAAAAATTCAAACTAACAAGAGAACGCTTATAATGGGCGATAAAAACTTAGTTTACGAAACAACACATACAATGTGATCCTAATTATTAATAATATATATGTACTTCAAAATGCTAATAACAGATGGTGAGTTTACAGGTAACCTTAATTTTCTTCTTTACATCTTTCGGTGATTTCAAATCAGCTTAAAAATATGTACTATTGACAACATCAGGAGGGAAAAAAAGCCACTTTCTGTATCTTCCTCCTTCCAGTTGAGGACACACAGAGGCGTCACGCCTTTTGAAAAATATACTTGGAGAGGCTGGCAAAGGAGCTCCACAGGCTAATACTTCACCTTAGCACCAGGATCCCATATGGGCGCAGGTTCCAATCCCGGCTGCTCCACTTCCCATCCAGCTCCCTGCTTGTGGCCTGGGAAAGCAGCAGAGGAGGGCCCAAAGCCTTGGGACCCTGCACCCACGTGGGAGACCTGGAAAAGGCTATGGATTCAGATCTGCTCAATTCCAGCTGTTGCAGTCATTAGAGGAGTGAATCAACAGAAGGAAGATCTTTGTCTCGCCTGATCTCTCTGTAAATCTGCCTTTGCAATAAAAAAAAAAAAAAAATTTTTAGAAAAGTTCACAGTCCAAACAGAATGTTACTTAAAACAAAAAAATGCTATCCCAGATCCTATGGAATTGTACCATAAAATTCAAAATGTAAAAAAAAAAAAACAAAAAGATGCTGCTTGGGAACCACATTTCTCACACCCAAGTTGAGTTCCCACCCCTCTGCCCCAGCCTGCTGCCACCGCACACGCAGCTCAAGCTTGGTCCCTGCCGCCCCTGCAGGAGACTCAGATGGAGCCTGGCTCCAGGGAGTGGTTTCAGCCAGGCCCAGCCCTGCGGGTCATGCAAGCACCTGCGGAGTGAACCAGCAGGTGGAACGTCTCTCTCCTGGTCTTTCTGCCTTTCAAATAAAATGAACATCAATACTCTTCAAACTAGATTTAAAAAAAAAAAAGTTTATGTCCCAAATACCACAACATTGTACAAAACTATGCAAAGTAAAAAAACAGAAAGGCTTTAGAACACATCGGCTGCGTTTGTTAAAGGAACTAGAGGACACAAGTAAGTGTGTTTTTCTTCAATCATCTCTGAGTTGTCCTGCGCTTTCTTTAAGAGAATGGAAAAAACCTCAGTGGGACTCGGGGCAATCAAAGCATTCCTACAGGACAGACATCACTCTGTCTGTCTCACCCACTCCACTCACACCTTCTCCAGACAAGCCCAGCTCACAACCAGACCGTCAAGGCAAAGTGGGCCCTCGTGGTGGCCAAGGGTCTTCCAGCTGGCATCTCTGACCAACAGGGAGGGTCCTCAGACCAGCTGCTGCCAAGGGCTCCATTCCACACCCCCCCCCACTCCCCACCCTCCCACGAAGCCTTCCTCCAGCCTGAACTAATTCGCCACAATCCCGAAGGCTGGCGAAAAAATGTCCACCAGCACACAGAACCCGATATTCAACCCAAGTTTTTCCCAGCCTCTTTCTGTGTCAAAGGAGGCCCCTCAGAGCCTCTCAGAGCACCAGCTCCCAGGCCAGCTTAGCTCCCACATCAATGCTCCACTTGAGTCAGCAGTCATCGCCAGGGAGACGCGAGAGGAGGAGCCCCAGCAGGGACAGCCCTTGTCACACAACCCCACCCGAAGCCCCAAGAGCCTCCTCAAGGATGCCCAGAGCTTTTTCTGGCACAACTCTAGACTCAGTCTCAGATGCGGACTAAGTCAACAAAGGAAAAGATCAAGCTGCAAACACACCAAGAGCGGAGAGCTGTACTTCAAGCCCTGTGCATCCCCTCTCCATCAAAGGAGAAGCTCAACACCCACAGGGGCTGTGCGGTACCTGCCCTCGGGAGGCCTCCAGCGGGACCCGGACACACACTGGGGCTTTTATCACGCCAAAGATGGACTCCTGTACAGGCAGAGTAACAGGGAACGCCAACAAAGGCCACAGCTCCAAACTTGTCAATACTCGACAGAATGGGAGCTGCTCAGACGGCGGTTCAGGGAGGATCCCCCGATGCAGCACATGGGCAGAAGCGGGTCTCAGCACGAGGGGACCATTAGGGACATGCCTGTGACCCATTTACAGCACTCCCGCAGGGAAGCATGTCCTGAATAAACCAGCTTTGGCCTCAGACCTCAAGCTCTCCAGGCCTGAATGACAGCGAGCTGGGAGTCTGTGGTCTTGAGTCAGTGCTGATACAACTTCCCCAGCCAGGGTGCTTTGGGGTGGGGGCGGAGGTGGGAGTTTCCACTGAAACACTGGGGATGGGAAAGCCCCCTTCTGACAACAGTGGCCATATGATACACCCACGCTGGGCATACAGAATGGCACAAGTGGCTTCATCACACTTCTGAATTTAACCCTCTTTCTGAGAACACAAGTGATCTCAGATTGGAGTCACGGCGGGGAGGCAGGCTCCGAAGCCACCAGTCACTGAGCATACTGAAAATCGGCTAAGAATTTGGATTTCTTCAAACCTCCACAACAACTGCAGGATGCTATTACCCCCCCCCCCCCATTCAGCAGAGGAAACCAACTCAGACACTTAAGGCCAAACACCTTTCTAACCTGGAGTTTTATTCAAAAGGCCAAGACCCTGGGACTCGCCTCAACCAGCCCCTCCAGCAGTTTTCCCATAAACGACAAATCCTGACAAGCCAGGAAAGGGAACGGTGAGAAGGAACAGTCCCCTTTGTCCACTGTCACCCCATCACAAAAAAGAAGCTGGTTTCTATCAAGCACCTGTGGGGCACCAAGGACCCCCTAAGTTCTCACAATGCCGCCAGGCCGGAAAGTATCTCACCATTCTACAGGTGAGAAACGGGCCAGAGAAGGTCAGCCACGGCCTTGCTGACTTGACTGCACTTGCTTCTCCTGCTCAGGACACCTGTCAGTGGGAATTCTCAGGGGACGGTGGAAGGGCACCTTTGGGGTCCCCCCAGGAAAGCGGAACTCACTCCCCTGTAAAGTACAACTCAACTGGAAAGCTCCCTCCTGTATCAAGTTGGTCAATCAGCTCCTGCCTGCTCGGTCCCAACCCTCCAGCAGTGGCAGCAGCTCACAAAGGCAAGACCAAAACAAAAGCCACGAGGAAACATCCAAACTTTACACATGGAAAGGAAGACTTGCAGGCGGGTGGTCCAGCCCCTGGGTGCACTGGTTGCAACCAGGACACCACGTGTGTTTTGCGAATGTTTAAGCCATCAATTTGCTAACTAAACAAACTGGTGAGCCAAGCTGCAAGAATGACACGATGGACTCTGGTGCTGAGACCATGTGGCCTGGCAAGTCCCTATGTTACCCAGCCCACCTTAGAGCACTCCCTACCCCAGGATTTGCACCCACGGATGGGGTGGGCTGAGCTGGGGCACCGGGGGTCACACCCTGACTGCAGCATGGGTCCCTCCCACCCTTTCCCTCAACAGTTGAGCTCTTGTTCTCCGGGGCACTGAGCCCTAGCCCCGAGCCTAGTCACAGCACATTAGCAATCACTGACTCACGCCTTGGCCCGGAGGAACCAGGGAAGTACAGGGGCCACAGGATGTATGGCCCTGCTCCCAGGGCTGCCAAGCAGAGAGGTGCTGAAGACAGGCTCCCCCATGGACAACCAGGGAGCCTTCCTGAGCCAGCCCTGGTGCCAATGGGCACCATCCGAGAGGCTGGGATCTCTAGACAGCTCTGCAGCTGCCAAGAAATCTAATCTCCCTCTTCCAAGACAGACGAAATCCAAGAAGGCTGCTAAGTCCACCACCCATCCCTAGGCATCACCGGCAAAGGCGAAGCCGGCCCTCCAGCCCACACTGACGACAATGCCAGAATTTCTGCCACCTCTCTGGAGGAACAGACAACTATTTCCCCAAGTTTCTCAAAGTTTAGCAAATATTCCCTTTCTTTCTCCAAAACTTCATTTTTCAACTCAGTCGCAGCAGCCGAGAAGGCCTGTACTGACAATAGCTGCTGGCTTCCATCAACACCCCGAGTATCCGCATGGAAAGACAAGCTCCCCAAACCCCCATCCCCAGTTCAGACCAAAAAAGAAAGAAACAAACAAACACAGACAAGAGAACGCAAACCAGAGTTCAACACGAAAGAGTGCGAGAGAAAAGCAGGCGGGATGGTGTGTGTATTGTTTCCATTGGAAAAACAGCTTGCTGGGATGGCTTCTGCACACATGTCGGGCCTTTCAGGCAAGCCCACTCTAACAGGACGGCTGCAGGCCGCTCTCCAAGAGCCCCGTCCGGGCTCCCCACACATCTGGCCCGCGCTGCTGTGGGACCCACACCCCGGGAAGCCTTCGTGATGACACGAGCCACGCGGTCTCCCCAGGCGGAGGGGAACGGACGCAGGAGCGGAGGGAGAAGCCCGGGGTCCCCCGGCGGCCATTCCCAGGTCCGCGACGGGGCGGCCCGCAGGTCCCCGGGAAGGTAAATGGGGAGGCCGCGGTGTGGGCGGGACGCGAACCCAGTGGCCGGGGCGGCGCGAGGAGGGGACGGGGCCCCCGGGGTTCGACTCTCACCAACACCAGGGCGAATCGCTCCTCCAGCTCACAAGGCTCGGGCATCGGCATCTTGCCGGGCGGCAGCAGCAGCGACACGGGGGGCGGCTCGCCCGGGCCCCCCTCGGCGCTCTCCAGATTGCCCATCGCCGCCGCGGGGCCCCCCGGGGGCTTCGGCTTCTAGAACGCCGCGTCGGGCGCCGTCGGGACGCCGGGGTCCCCCCCTCAGAGGCGCAGCGGACGGCAGCCGCCGAGCGACAGGCACGGCGCGACCGGCTCTGCTCGGCGCTGCCCCTCCCCGCCCCCCGCGCGCTCGCCCTTCCTCCCCGCACCCTCCCCAGCTCGCTTCCTCCCACCCACTCCGGCCGGGACTCGGGCTTCCCCGCCAGCGCCGGCTGCAGCCCGCGCGCCCCGCGGATGCAGGTCCCGCCTCCCGCCCCCGGGCCTCGCGGGCGGCCCGGCCCCGATGGACGGCCGCGCCTGCCAATCGCAGTGCCTCCCGCCCTCGGCGGCCGAGCGCCTGGCGCCGAGCGCACCCTGGCGGCCACCGCCGGCACCGGCCCTTCCCGAGAGCGCGCACAGCTGAGAGGAGCGCAGAGGGCTGGGACGCTCAAGCAGGGGCGCGGGGCGAAGGGCGCGGGGCGAGGGGCGAGGGGCGCGGGGCGAAGGGCGAGGGGCGCGGGGCGCGGGGCGAGGGGCGCGGGGGCGAGGGGCGAGGGGCGCGGGGCGAAGGGCGCGGGGCGAGGGGCGCGGGGGCGAAGGGCGAGGGGCGAAGGGCGCGGGGCGAGGGGCGAGGGCCTCAGCTGAGAAGGGAGGAGAGGAGGAGAGTGTGCTCACCTGGCAAGCAGGCACGAGGGACCACCGAAGCATCATTACTGGGGTGGCAGACACCTGCCGTTTCCACCTGTCTATCCTGCATCCCTTCTCCTCGCGTGAAGCTCTCCAGGTGGACCCGCACTTCACTGCCTCGCAGAGCTCCCCCTGCCCCAGGCCTTTCCAGTTGTAGGGCTTAGTAGACCCAAGCTCAGACAAGAAAAGAGGTGCTCCAGGAGAGACAACACCAAGCTATCCAGACGGAAAGCTAAGGACATGCTGAAAACTGGGATCTAACCATACCTGAACTTAACACCTGGGTTTTTCATGCATCTATTCAACAAATATTTATTAAAAAGCTCAATATTTGCCAGACACTGTTCTGGGTATTGAAGACAAATCTGAGAACAAAAAGAACTTATGGTGTCAACAAACTAGTTAGTTAAAGCTCATAAGTGGTCATGACCAGGCTTGATTGAAATGAGACTGCAGGAGGTATTTGGCCTAGCAGTTCAGTCCTAGGCTAGGACACTCACAGTCCATCTTAGAGTGTTTGGGTTTGATTCCCAACTCTAGCTTCCTGCTGAGGCAGAAGGTGATGGCTCGGGTAACTGGCTTTGTGTCACACGTGTCACAGACCTGAGCTGAGTTCCCAGCTTCGGCCCCAGTCATAATCATTATTTGGAGAGCGAACCAGTGGGTAGGAACAGTATCTTCTCTGTTCAAACTTTTTTTTTAGATTTTATTTATCTTTATTGCAAACTCAGATATACAGAGAGGAAGATCTGCCATCCGATGACTCACTCCCCAAGTGACTACAAAGGCTGGTGCTGCGCCAATCCGAAGCCAGGAGCTTCTTCCGGGTCTCCCACACGGGCGCAGGGTCCCAAGGCTTTGGGCCGTCCTCGGCTGCTTTCCCAGGCCACAAGCAGGGTGCTGGATGGGAAGCGGGGCTGTCAGGATTAGAACCGGCGCCCATATGGGATCCCGGCACATTCAAGGCGAGGACTTTAGCCACTAGGCCACTGCGCCAGGCCCTATTCAGACTCTTAAATGATAAAGTTTTTAAACAAACACTTTAATTAAGTAAAATAAAACTGAAAGAGGAGAGAGGCCGAAGAGCGGTTCAGATTTTACAAAGAGGGCAGGTTATACGTACACCCCACATTGGAATGCCTGGGTCAGATCCCTGCTCCACTCGGGTCCAGCTTCCTGCTACTGCAAACCCCAGGAGGCAGCAAGGGATGCTCAAGTTAGTTGAGGCCCTTCACCTACTCTGGAGATCCAGATTGAGTTGAGGGTCAGGCTTGGTCCCAGCACCCCCACCCACCACCCCCCAAGCTCTTGTGAGCACTGGGGAAGAAAAGCAATGGAAGGAACATCGATCTCTTTCTCCCTCTCTTATTCTAACCTTTAAAATAAATCAACGTAAACTTTTCTAAAAATAGAATGTTCAAAGAAGTTCTCGGTGATAAGATAGCATTTGGGTAAATGCCTGGCAGAAGTGAGAAAATCTGGGGAAATAATGGCCTAGAGAGGGGGATGGTGGGTACCTACTGTATCTGATTTGTCAGTTCAAGGAACAGCAAAAAGGCTGCTGTGGCTGGAGTGCAATGAGCAAGGGAAGGACATTGAAAGGGGAAGTTGGAAAAGTAACCAAAGTGACATTGTGTAGGGCACTGGAAACTGTTGTAAGACTTTTTTCTCAGGATTGGATTGATGTATCCATTGGGCAACTAAGTGGAGGTTTCTACTAGGCAAGCCGACATGCGGGAATGTGGAGCAGCGGGCCTGGGAAGCATCAGCACCTGAATGCTATTGAAGTGAAGAGATTCCCTCTTTAAAAAGTCTGTATTCTGTTTAGAACCAGAGAGTGAACTCGTTGGCTTTACAAACCACGGAAACGCTCTGCCCTGAAAACCAGCCTGTTAGAATCGGCTGGACAATTCAATCAACTCCCCATCTTTCTCCTCCTGCTACGTCACATACACACACTTTTGAGAACCTGCTAGGTTGTGAACACCTGGAAGTAGAACACCTGTGCATCACTGGCTCCTTGCCATGGTGGACTCTTCCGAGAGCATATACTTCTAGTCGACAAACTGAGGATTCAAGACAGGAAGTAGGACCCGGTGCGGTAGCCTGATGGCTAATGAGCTCACCTTGCATATGCCAAGATCTCATATAGGCTCCATTTCATATGCCGACTGCTCTCCTTCCCATCTAGCTCCTTACTCATGGCCTGGGAAAGCAGTAAAGGATGTCCCAAGGCCTTGAGACCCTGCACCCACGTGGGAGACCTGAAAGATGCTCCAGGCTCCTGGCTTCAGATTGGCTTAGCTCTGGCCATTGTGGCCACTTGGGGGAATAAATCAGTGGATGGAAGATCTTTCTGTATCTCCTTCTCTATGTAAATCTGACTTTCCAATTTAAAAAAAAATCATAAAAAAGAGAGGAAGTAATTCACCATTTCTCATGGCTGCTTAATGAACGTGCAAATTGACAGGGTAGGACGGAGCAGCGTATCAGCCCTGTGTGGTCCTTTTGCCTTTGCTTGCCCCAGGCTGAACCCTCAGATTTACATAGATTAGGGCCTCTGAGCGTGCTTGATTAGGGCTTTCCTTGATAGTACCCTGCACACTCACCTTCAACACTTTCTTATTTTCTAAGTGATAAAACTGTCTTAATCTGATAGCGAGGATCAATATCAGCTGCAAGCCTTGATGCCACGCCCATCGGACCGCTCCTTCCTCACCTGGCTCTAATATTGCAAAATCAGTGCTTTGCTTCAGCTGGGAAGAACCACGCGTCTCAAGGGTAAGTAGTAAGGAAGAGCCTGTGATGAACAGGTGTCCGTCACCTGTTCACAACCAGCTAGGCTCTCGGACCCATGTTTACAAAACACCACAGCAAGTGTTGTAATAGAGGGGTGTACAAAGTGCCAGAGAGAGAGCCGAGGACAGGACTGGAAGTGCGGGGGTGCTTTGAGGGATGCGTGGCACTGGATCAGGGCTGAGGGGTGAAAACAGCATGCCAAACAGAAAAGCAGGGACAGTATAACGAGAAGGTGATAGCAGAATGAGCAACCCGATGGCAAACAGAGAACTAGGAATGAGTGCAGGCTGTTGGAGCCAGGGTAAGGAACTCCGTGGGGCTGAAATGTCAGGTGTGTGAGCGAGTGGGAAGACAATGAGAAACTGGCAAGGCCGGTAGAATCCAGGCCAGCCAAGGAGTGTGCCCTTTGGCCTGTAGACGATGCTCTGCGCTATAGAGTTTTCTAGAATGCCCCGGAACTTGAGGACTACAGAAATGGTAAGAGCCAGAAAGGGATGAGAACCGGGGATAAACATGTGGAATAAACAGAAGTACAGCTGGGGAGAGAGACCCTTCAGGTGGAATCTTAGGAACTGAGAAGATAAGGATAGGGACCGATTTTTCTAACGTTTTCTAATCTTCACATCCATGATCTGATTTGATCTTTACATCACCATAGGAGGGAGCTATTATCCTATTTCACAGAGGAAGGGGAGGGGGGGGAAGCTAAATTAAGTAATACAAAGATCATCTAGCCAGCCAGTATGTGGTAAGCCTGGCACTGAACCCAGGCTTTGGTTATGAAACTCCTGATTCTGTTGTGACAAATGAAAGCGTGAAGAAGGCTGAAGAGCGATGGCTGGCTTAAGGCAGGCGTGGCTGCCATGGTCTCCGGGAGAAGCCCCAGCAGCTCTCAGGTCAGCACACCCACCTTCTTCTGAAAGCGTTTGTAAACTCTTCCTCACCAACAAGGGAGTGCCTGCTGATCCCCAACCACCATCCCTTAACAACATTTCTTTCCATCTCTGTCCTGGGAAGGGGTAGGAGGGAATGTTGACGCAAATACTTCAAATTTTTGTCTGAGTGATTTGTCCTGAGGCAAATAGAATGTTCCTCTCATTTCTCTTCACTGGCTAATTCCAACTCATCCTTGAAAACCGGGTTTAAAGGTCACCTCCTGCATGATTGCTCTACCGAGTCGGATTAAGGACATCCCTGTGAACACGTAGTATCCTGGCATATCTTTCATCATGCCGTGAAATAGTAGGTTGTGTCAGCTCCTCCAGGAGAAGTAGATATTTCCGGTACCTACCTGTACAGGGCCCACTTCACGGCTAGTAATTGCTCATGGAATCAGTAAATGACTTCCTACTTTGTCACTTCCTTCTCAAGTGATAGGAGATCCTTGATTCTTTTATTTATTTATTTATTTATATTGGAAAGGGAGATTTACAGAGAGAAGAGAGAGAGAAAGCTCTTCCATCTGCTGGTTCATTTCCCAAATGCCCACAACAGCCAGAGCTGAGCTGTTCTAAAGCCAGGAGCTTCTTCCAGGTCTCTCACGCGGGCGCAGGGTCCCAAGCCCTTGTGCTGTCCTCTGCTGTTTTCCTAGGCCAT